ATTTACCTCTTTCCTGTAACTTTGTATGTCAGATTAATTTTGGTCTTCTTTTCCACCAGTCTTCATTCCTCTATACCATTACTTACATAGTTATATTCTGATACAAATGGAGTCTTTGTATTAATAATTACATTCTGTGTGTTTTTGTAATTTATCATAATGATACTCTTATTGCATATTATAGAAATCTCTTTTTTCACACCCTTTAACCCCAGATTGTAATTGAGGTCGAAACAGATCGTAAATGCTGATAATATAGATTGCACGCTCAGAGGAAATGGAGTTGGTTTCATAGTGGAGTTTTAATTTAGGATTCGTTCTGGTGATGTAGCCTCTTCCTATGGTACATTACTTTAAACCCAATATAACTGCATGTTCCCATAGCCCCTCATTATAGCTATAGCCTCTCACTGCTTTTTAATTAAAAAAAAAAAAGGGAAAGAGAGAGAGAGACAGAAATGAACCTGGAGCTTAGGTTGAATATGATCTGGGTATGCAGGGAGTAGCTTAGGCAAATAAATGCTTATTTAATTTTTAACTCTTTAAGAGATTTCATGTGAGAAATCTTATTTCTGTTTCCAATGGGAATATTTTTTATAAAATGCTTTTAGTTTCTAGCAATTGTGAAACTTCTCATTAGCTTTGTCTGTTTGGGCATCTATATACCCTTGAAGGTTGACCAGCTCTGAGGTTGGAACCCAACAAATAGTAGATGTTACTACTCTACAATAGTCCTAAAAGAGAGAGTTAAGAATCTTGTATGTCTAGGCCAGTATATTGGTATTACAGACATTAACAGTTAATTATTTTTTCTAGTCTTGTGGGCAGCAGAAGTAAAAAGATGACTTTATTAAAAGCAATTTCTCCTGACATTTCTTTATCTTGAAGGTTTCCAAACACTTTGCAAAATACCAAAAATAAATCCTCAAAGGTGACTTGTATGACTCAATCAACAAGCATTTATTAAATACTTAGTATGTACTAGACACTGCTTGGAAGTGGGGATACAGATATAAAGAATGAAATAATCTGTCTTTTTAAGGAACTCAAACATCTTGGGATCGGCCTTGTACGACAAAGTAAAGGGACAGGTATTAATGCCAGCCACCTTTCTTTGGCTCTCTCTTGTAGTGAGAAGTAGTTTGGCATTTGCTGGTAATTTTTTCTGATGGCTTCTGGTTTAGTAGGACTTTATTATCCCTTTCTTGTGCAGGTTGCTACTGTTAATGGCTGGGTTTTCTTTTGGGATTGGGGTAGAGATCGAAAACAAAATGTTGCAGAGCTAGAATGAATCTTAGAAATAAAATCCAACCTTCTCAGTTTACAAATGAGCAAATAGGTCCAGAGAAGGAAAGTAATGGGTCTTAGAATATAAAATTTCACTAGATTGTAAACTCATTAGGGCAGGAGCTGTTTCCTTTGTATCTAATCTTCTGCGTTGCTTAGTATGGTGCCATGCATTTAGTAGCTGCTTTGTAAATGTGTCTTGAATTGAATTGCCCTAGACTCTTCTGGAGTAGTTAAGACTTAGACTCTCAGGGTCATAATAATATCAAAGAATTTGGGGCAAGAAAGAGACTTTAGAGATCACCTGATCCAGTCCTTCCATTTTATAGATAAGTAAACTAAGACCCCCAAAATTAAAATGACTTGTCCAAGATCTTACGCGTAGTAAGTGGCAGAACTAGATTCCACCTCAGGTTCTCTGACTACAAATCAGTGCTCTTTCCCTTATATCACTTCATTTTCCCATGATTTAATGTTGAATGCTGTCCATATCCCTGAGGATTGGTTCCAAATAAACTAGAATCCCACTGATGGTCTTGATGGGGGGGTCAAAAGGAGAGGGAGGAGTTGTGGAGTGATGTTCTGACTACACTTATTATTGAATGGACACTTATTTCAACAGCATGAAGAATCTCCTAGATGTGTTGCCTGATAGGACTTAGGATCATATTTTTTAAGGCCTTATTTAGCTCTGTGACTGGCCTTTTGTTTAGCTTGACCAGGTGATGACAGGGTTTTTTAGTTACATCATCTACAGGAAGCTTTCCAAATTCCGCAACTTTTAGTGCCCTCCTTATATATGTATATTTGTATATATTTTGCATATATACTTACATATGTTCATGTTGTTTCCTCCAATAAAATGTTAGTTCCCTGTGGGCAGAGACTGTTTCATGTTTGTCTCTATACCCCTAGTTTCCTGGACTTAGTAGGGGATTAATAGATGCTTACTGATTGTTTATGTTCTTCCCCCAAATCCCCTCATATTTACTATTCTGTAAGGAGGTATGGCTTATAGGAATCAATATTGATTGAACCCTCTCTAGAGAGCAGCTTCAGGAACTACTGTCTTGGGAAGGCCCATCAGATCAGGAGAAAGCAGACTCAGGAATTGGAGACTCTTAGGTCTTTGTAGTAGTTCTTATTATACAATCTTGAATATGCTCTCTCTCCATTTGTAAAATAGAAATAGTGATACCAACTCTAGGATTGTGGTAAAGATGAAAGGACCTACTTTAGATCCCTCAGAGGAAGGTGCTGTTTCATTAGATATTATTAGAGGTAGAAAGTGTTTTCTGGGTATAACTATAAAGTATGTTTCAAAGGAGTGAGTTTATATGTGTGTTGGGAGATATGAATAAAAGGGAGGTTGCCACTTGGCATCCATTTTGCATTTCATGATTATGGCACTGTTTTCTTTTTTTCCTTTTAGTAGTAGTCCACTGCCTTTTTTCTCTGCCCCCAATGAATAAACAATCCTGAAATCTGCTTTTCATGGTGAGTCTGCCTAACTTGGCTGCTGCAGCAAGCTCACACTAATCAGAATCACAGCAGGCCTGGTTTTATGAACCTAAAAGAATTAGTGTTCCCGAGGGGCTAAAGTTCTTACCTGCTGGGGAGCTGCAGATTTCCAGTTTGAAGACATTATTGTGGGATCAAGCAAGTTTTCACTCTTTTTTTCCATGTGGAAATGATTTCATACTTTTTAATAGTCTTAAATTATTGGCATGTTTTCAACATTTTTTTTTTAGGGTTGATCTATAATGACTGTAGTGGATTTTTATACTTATGGAAATAGGTTGTGATCATATCAAATTATTATCTATCCCAGGGAGACTGGGAATAGAGTGACGAAAAGCAGGTGGTGCCCTACAAGCCAAATTGTATAATTTGAATTTGCTAAGCAATGTCATATGCTTAGTATAGCTGAAGCACCTGGTATGTGTAGTCACCAGAAGCTTAACTGTAGAGGAGAATGGCCTTTCACCCCTGGCATGAGTGGGCAGCCATAAGTCAGATATGTAATATATACAATGGAAATTTATCTGTATTACCAAATTGATTAGCTGACTGGAGACTTACGTGGCATCATCTGTTTGGTAGTACTGTGCCTTACAGTGCCTAGCATCCTCTTGACAGTCATCCACAACAGTAAATGTCTAGGGATGAAGCCGGGAACTAACAAGAATTTTGTATTTCAGGGAAGATGGTTAGAGCCGTATAAGTTGCCACATGTAAGGAAATTTCTGGTTTTATAAGTCTCATTTTAATGAATGTTATTTATGAATTGTCACCTCCCACCTTTTAAAATTGGAAAAAGGTCTGATCAGCCAAGGCAGGGGTATGGAACACAAAATCAAGTTTTGTTGCTATAGTGGAAAGGACATTGACTAAAGAATCAAGAGTCCTGGGTTTTAGTTTCAGCTCTACTATTTTTTTTCCTTTTGAAATATTTTATTTTTTTAAATTAATTTATTTATTTTTAGTTTTCAACATTCACTTCCACAAGATTTTGAGTTTGAAATTTTCTCCCCATCTGGTCCCTCCCCCCACCCCAAGATGGCATGCATTCTGAATACCCCTTCCCCTATTCTGCCTTCCCTTCTATCCCCCCTTTCTCTTATTCCCTTCCCCTTCAATTTTCTCATATGGCAAGATAGATTTCTGTACCCCATTTCCTGTATATCTTATTTCCCAGTTGTATGTGAAAACAGTTTTTTTTACTTTTGTTTTTAAAGCTTTGGGTTACAAATTTTCTCCCTTTCTCCCTCCCCACCCACTCTCATTAAGAAGGCAAACAGCTTGATACAGGTTATACATGTGTAGTCATGCAAAACGCCTCCATAGTAGTCATGTTGTGAAAAACTAAGTATATTTCCCTTCATCCTATTTTGCCCCCCATTTATTTTATTTTCTCTTTTGACCCTGTCCCTCCAGAAGTGTTTGCTTCTGATTACCCCCTCCCCCAATCTTCCCTCCCCTCTGTCATCCTCCTGCTCTCTTGTCCCCTTCCCCCCCCATTTTCCTGTAGGGTAAGATAGATGTCCATACCCAGTTGAATGTGCATGTTATTCCCTCCTTAAGCCAAATCCTATGAGAATAAGATTCACTCATTCCTTCTCACCTTCCCCTGTTTCCCCTCCAATGTAAAAGCCTTTTCTTGTCTGTTCAGTGTGAGATAATTTACCCCATTCTACTTCTCCCTTTCTCCTTCTCCCAGTATAATCCTCTCTCACCCCTTAATTTTATTCTCCAGATATCACCCTGTATCCTCTATCTATCTATCTACCTATCTATTTATCTACTTACATATAATTTTTTCCCCTCCAACTACTCCAGTACTGACAAAGGACTCATGAGTTACAAATATCATCTTTCCATGCAGAATGTAAACAGTTCATCCTTAATAAGTCTCTTATGATTTCTTTTTCCTGTTTACTTCTTCATGTTTCTTTTGAGTCTTGTATCTGAAAGTGAAATTTTCTCTTTGGCTCTGGTCTTTTCATCAAGGGTGCTTGAAAGTCCTCTATTTCACTGAATGACCATTTTTTCCCCTGAAGGATTATGCTCAGTTTTGCTGGGTTCAGCTCTACTATTAAATAACTCCCTGCGCTTTACTGATCTAGCATTTCCTCATCAAAAATGAGGGGTTAGATTAGGCGACTGCTAAGCTCCCTTCCAGCTTGACGTGCTGTGATTCTGTTTTCTCTTAGCCAAACAGGGGTACAAAACGGCCCCGAGATGATGAAGAGGAGGAACTAAAGACGCGGCGGAAGCAAGCTGGAGCCCGAGAGCGAAATCGCTATAGGGAAGAGGAAGGGGTGGCAGTGGAAGAAGCCGATGATGACAAAAAGAAGCTTCTTCAGAGGATTGACAGAGAGGGAGAGGAGGAAGAAGAAGAGGTGAGGGTAAGGGTAAGGATTGATGAAAATTTGGAGAGCCTTGTCTTCAGAAATGAATTGTGACAAAAGAATAGTATTGGTTATAATTCTTTTCTTGAGACAAGTAGATGTGTTTTCTTCTTGTATCTCTTAGTTCTTTGAAAACTTCAAACTTTTTCCACTGTAAAGGAATAGTTTTAACCTTAATGCATCAATGAATTAAAAACAAAACAAAAATAAACCCTTTCCATTTGCTGTTTAAACAACTTTATTTTTGGTTTGTATTTATTCCTTTCTGATATTTTGCTCCATTCAAATTAAGAAAATTCATTCTTAACTGTTTTGGAGTTCTCATGTATTTGCATTTCATTACTATTGAGCATCTACTATGTGTGAGGTACTATCCTAGGTGTTTGGGTGAGATGCTAAGATACAATTCCTGTCCTCAAAGAACTTATCATAGAAGGGAATAAGGCGTAATGACTTTCATTTTTGTAGTGCATGAGGTGTGAAACAGGCTTGAAGGGTAGATGGTTTTCTGAATCATAGGATTATCACATCAGAGATTTAGAGTTGGAAGAGCCTTACTGGGCTTCTGGTTTAACCATCTCATTTTACAGATGAGGAAACTGATGCACAGAGAGGCTAAATGCCTTGACTAATGTCACACAGCTAGGAAGTCTAGGCAAGAAGAGTCTAGCTCTTCTGTCTCTAAGCCCCATTGCTCTTTCTACTACATCATGCCGTCTATCAAAACATGTACATAAATATGACACGAAGTAGAGTGTAAAAGTATGCAAGAGAGTTGAGGGATGGAATCCCCTTGGCTGAGGGGTTAAGGAAAGACTTCGTGGGGCGGACGGTATCACAGATAATCCCTAAAGGATGAATAGGGGTTTAAAGACGATTTGTGATCTTATGAACATATGGCATGTGAATTTAGCCAAAACTAAACTAAAAACTAAGCTACAGAAACAGTTTCATTTTTATTTACTATCTCATAAAAAGCCTTTCATCAGTCCTGATTTTGGGGCCTGACTCTCTAGGGGTGACATTTTGAAAATTGTAGTGGGAAATGTTTTTTGGACTTCTCACAGGCCTTTCAACATTCAGCAGCTCTGTGAGGATTTAGGTGGTATGTAGCATTCTTCCCTCCTGTCTCCTTTCCAGCTCTTCTTCAATCTGTTAGCCCTACAGCAACAATTAATTGGCAGGCATAATTCCCATGTAGGGCAAGGCCTAGACTAAAGGATTAGGATAGTAGCTGTCATGGGTAAGTGGTTTCAAGCCTAGGAGACAGAAATCTAATGTGGGACCAGCCCTTTTGTTAAGGGACAGGGGAAAAGAGATCATTTTGTAAAAATGACACATGGATGACTACAAGTCTAGGAGTTATTTTCTCCCTGCCACCAAAGTCCTATTTGATGAAAAACAAGTGATATTTGCCACTGTGAAGTCATGTGACCTTGTAAAATATTATTGTCCTTTTTGTACTGCATCACCAACATTCATCTTTCTGAAATCTCCCTCTGGTTTCTGATGTTGAGCTATTGGTGATGCTGTTGTGGCTGATGGTAGAGACTGATAATTCACTATTCCCCTGATACTTGAGAGAATTTCCAGGAGGAAAGTGAAAGCCTTGAAGAGTCTAGGAATAGTGGAGGCCTGTAAGCTGTCTGTATTGTGGTGTGCTTCTCTCTTCTGGGTTAGCCAAGAGGAATAAAGCCTGTCTTTATCTGAGCCATTTGAGGATCATGTAACCCTCCTTCATCAATCCAGATAATTTTAGTAAAGGTTTAGTGGTGGTATTAACCCTCCTTCATCAATCCAGATAATTTTAGTAAAGGTTTAGTGGTGGTATTGGAACATTTTACCCCAGTGGCCAAATCATAGTTTGCTTTGGATATATAGATAGCAGGACTCACCAAATGACTCCAGAGACCTTTAAGTAAACAATTGCAAAGTTTACAAAATATTTTTGCTAAATGAATGTATAGGTAGAGGTGTTCCCCATTTCAGAATAGCTAACCAAATCAAAATTGGAATTTGCACAATTGGAGGGGGCAATAATTTGTTTTTCAAAAGAACTACTTTTAGGGCCTTCTAAATAGCAATTCTTCTGAATTTAAGTATATGCTGTGGTCAGGAACTGCTTGGCAGTGAAACTAAAAAGAGAGTAGGGGAGATATGGGGAGGATTGGAGCAAATGAAATCTATACCTCATTGAATCCCTATCTTCCTAGAAAGAATAGCTCAGAACCTGCGTCCTACATAGTCCTGATGTCTATGATCACCCCATGATTCACTCCCTTGCCCCTAAGTAGTCGGTACCCACCCCATCTTAAAATTGATTTGCATTGTTACTTTGTTTAAATTTAGTATTTACTTATCTGCATATATGGTTGCATCCCCCCAGTAGAATTATAAGCTCCTTGGAAGGGGTTGTCTTATTTTTGTCTTTATATTTACAGAACTTTGCACATAGTAGGCACTTAAATATTTATGGAATTGAATTGAATGTGAGCAGCAAGATGGAGGACTAGACATTTTCTGTGATTCCCATGACCTCTCAGACCTCTTCAAAACAGCAATTATATGTGCTAAAGATAAAGTAAGTTCATCTGTCTCCATAGTCTAAGATGCTCAGAATTCAAAAGAAGGTAAAAAACTCGGTACCCCTCTGCCACTTTCCACACTACTGGCACTGAGGCTGCACTAGCACTTGTCTTCTCACACAGGTCAGGGCTTACAATAAAATCTAACCTCATAGCCAGGTCTCCACTCCTTCTTCTCAGTGCCATTTCTAGGCTTTGGAAATTTGCTTGGGCAGTGACGGTTAGTCAGCTCAGCAGGTGGCAACTCTTCAGTAGTAAGAGCCTGCTGGAAGCCACAGCCCTGTAGCTCTAGCTCAGCAAAGCTCCCAGCTGCTTGCTGGCTCTGGGGCAGACAATCCAGTAGCACTAGCAACAGTCCAAAGCACCAGCAGCTCTCCGAATTGCCCAGAGGGAGGACAGGACGTTATGTGTAGGGAGGTTGGGGGGCAGCTGTTCAGTCCACTGAGCCTGAGGGAAAGAGTACAGCATCTAGCTGGAGCCATTTCTGACCATCCCAAAATCACTCAGGCTAGAGACCTAGGCTTGTGAACCGTGAATGTGGGGGGGAAGAGGCTGAGAAAGTTTGAGATCCAGCCCTTAAGGAAACTGCCATCAGAGGGGACAGAGTGAGAAAGTGAATAGGGGAAAATCAGAGAGAAAAAAAGACTGAAATTACCTAAGATCTCAGGAAGAAGAAAACTCGGAGACCTTGAACATAAGCAGACAAATCAGCTGGGAAAATGTTAACCACAAAAGGAAATATGGCCTCTTGATCTAGTAAATGAGTTCAGGCATCTATGAATAAATAAATAACTGCAAAACAAATTGAAGTTATTCAAAATTTGACAAGACAGAGGGTCTTATGGATTGTGAGGAGAACATGGCAGGCACCACAACACATTGTCCCTGAGTGGTTCAAAAGAGAAATTAGAATTATGAGAACTGAATTTATGGCCTGCACAGCAAAAATAATGGGCACAATAGAGAAATAGAGAAACTAGAATCCACAATGGCAAATCTCACCAAAGAAACAAAAGAGAGAACACTGAATTGGGTATGCAAATATACAGAAGTGAAGGACAATCTAGAAGAAGAGAAGCAAAAACCAAAAACATTAAAAAGAATTGAAATGAAATGAAAACTAAAATGAAATGGTTGTAAGGAATCTGTGAAATACTAATGTTCATCTTTGGGGAAGTTGTTCAATCTACATGAATTTAATTTGTCTACCTTTCTAGAAACCCATGTTTCTAGTGCCTCTTTGTGGGCTTTCAGCTGTTGCTGCTTTGGGGAGTCAGTTGTCTGCTTGGTTCTCAGCACTATGACTAGCAGGCAACTGGGGAACAGTGGACAGATTCCTAATAAACCACTAGTGGAAATACTGAATAAACAACAAACAGTCACTTGAGCCAGTTTTATGGTTAATGCTTATTTTGAGTATAAAATTTGAATTACACCTTAGCTTTTACCCTTTATAGTTGGAGACAGATAGTAGAGCATCAATAAAAGAGTCAGACCTTAGTGTTAGTGCTAGTTTTGCTATTCATTATCTGAATGATCGTGGACAAGTCACAAAACCTTACTGAGCCTCAGTGTACTCATTTATAAAATGAAATTAGAGTTTTCTCCTCTTCCCTTATGTTCTCTGATTCTGTGAATTTCATTGTTATAAGTAATTAGTTTAATGATTCCTTTTATCCTCTTTGAATAGTTACTTGCTCTGTGTGATATATAATGCTAGGTGTTGGGGAGATGTAAAACTAAACAAGATATGGTTCTTGATCTCAAAGAACTTAGAGTTATTGATTGTTATCTGAAGACTAGGGATGAGTTGGCTTAAATCTTAAGCAGTTCTTTATTTTTCTTCCAACTCTCCTCCTTTAGTTAATCTGACTGAGTCAGTTAACACATTTCTATGTACACAGCTTTTTTTAGCTGCTTTGGAAAATTCAAAGGCGTTTACGACTTGAGCCTTGGCCCCTAGAATTTGCATTCTAGTTTCAGAGACAAGATATACACTTCACACTAGGCAGCCAACAATATAAGGCATGATATAAGTGCCAAATGAAAGACAGATAATAAATGAAGGCTAGTAGAGTTCAGAAAAGAAGATATCACTGAGGGCTGAAGTTGTTGATTTTTATTTATGTGTTTATTTTGAACCAGGATGAACCACTAGATGAAAGCTCAGTGAAGAAAATGATTCTCACATTTGAGAAGAGGTCCTATAAAAACCAAGAGCTACGTATCAAGTTTCCAGACAATCCTGAGAAGTAAGATATCCTTTGCTTTACTGTTCCATCCCCTTCCTTATATCTTTCCAAGTGTTTGCTTTTCTAATTCATCTCAAAGCCTTTGTTTTCTAATGAGAGCTGTATCCCTGGTGTTCTTTGACTTTAAGGTTGTATTTGAAAATTTTTTTAATTTAAAAATCAATATTACCTAGACTGCTGTTAATGGTGGGGCCTGTAGATGGCTCAGTGACTAGAGCACTGGGCCTGGAGTCAGGAAGATTTGAGTTCAAATGTGACCTCAAACACTTACTAGCTGTGTGACACTAAGCAAATCACTTAACCCTGAGATGAGTTTCCTCATCTGCAAAATGAACTGGACAAGGAAATGGCAAACCACTCCAGTGTCTTTGCCAAAAAAATCCAAATCGGGTCACAAAGAGTCAGACGTGACTGAAACGACTGAAACAACTGAACCGCAACTGTTAATGGTGGTGATGTCATTGACAAAATGAAGTAATTCAGAGCAGGAGCTGTTAGAGAGACCCTTGAGGTTAGGTCAGTCTCTCTTCCTCTTATATTAGCTTAGCTATCACCAACTAGCCATTTGAAAAAGCTGTTTGTTTTCTAGATTGCTTTTCCTACAATGGCAGTTCACTATAGCATAGCTTGTTAATAAGGTGGATTTTGATGTAACCTAGGTATATTTTGTCCCTCATTTAATTAGATTTGCTTGTTGGAAAGTTGGAAGGGCTTTAAGTAGAGGCCCAATAAACTATCTCTTGTTAGAGGACCCATCTAGCAAGGTGTGGAGAAATTTTATCATCTGATGGTTAGCCACCAGGTATATGATTTTTCAGTGAGAGCAACTAGTGAAATATGGAGGGATTTCGATAGTCGTCAGTGAAGGGAGAACCAAGATCAGTGAGCTTTTGGCTCTTTCAAAGTTCAAAATGTAGACAAGGAAACCTAGGCATTAAGAGGTTAAATGACAAGTTACAGTAGAAACAGAACCAAAACCCAGATTTTCTCATTCCCAGTCTAGAGTCTCCCTGCCGCATCAGATTGCCTCAAAATATCTGGTTATTGCTCAGTCTTGCATTTAACACATTTCAATGGCCCGCACATGAAAAGTGGCAGTTAGAAGAGGCCTCCTTTAGTGTATGATCACCATTGACTGACAAAACTGGAGGCCTTCAAACTCCAACTTATGTGTTCATCACTTTACTTAATGCATTTTAGCTGGCTTGAACTAGTCTTGCTTTGAAAATGAGTGCCCCTGTTGGCATCTTATGGGATGTGAAGGGAGCTCTGCATTTGTTGTATACAACAGTTAAGGGAAATTATTTTTATTGCAAAGAACCTTTAAAAAATCATACCCCTTTACATTCTTACAATGTATTTCCATTTTAGACATTGGAACATTTGAAGACCAAATTTAAATGTGAAAAATATTTTTGATGGTTAAATGCAGTTCAGAAGCTACATTGTATTTTAACCTTGAGCTTTTGAATTCTTACTGGTGCAATGTTTTTGGTAATTCTGTAGTCTCGGTGAGGTGCAATTAAGATGAAAATTGCTTGAGCATATTTGAATGAACCTCTCCGATCAAGATTGGAAACATTCAAATTTATTTTTCCGTAGATGCAATTGTCATTTTGATCGCATACCCAGAAATGCCTCTTTTCATTTGGCTGCATTTAAAATACAATTGACAATTCTCCTCATATAACCATCACTTTTCACTCTCTGCCCTTTCCACCCAATACCATCTTTCTGAAGGATACACTGTTTGCTGTTAAACTTTGGGCAACTTTGTTCTTTTTTTTTTTCTATGTATTGCTTGTCTTTTTCAGGGTTATAGTTGGATTGTTTTGGATGCAGTGAGCTCCAAACAGTCAGAAGTCCTTAGCAGTGATTTTTGTTTCCGTGGTTGGAACTAGTACTCGCCCATTGCAGTTGCTTTGCTGGTCAGTGCTGACGCTGGATCTATGGTTAAAAGAGTGCTTTCAGGCATTTGGAAGGAAGTCCATTGAAACAGACACTTGACACATTTTTGGTCATACTGGACAGAGTCTTTGACTCCTTCATGGCCTGGCTGACTGTTGTAATATGTAGCTGTAATGCTTTGCCATTGCCTTCTCACTTTGCCCTTCATACATTGTTGGATGTATGCCTAATGCTTGGAAACGGTCTTCTCAGAAGGACAGCATCCCGAAGAAATGGATTTTGTGGAAGAAAACTTTATCTGCCTAGCAGAGCACACTTGAAAATACATAAGAATCACTGGTAGCTGTGGATTTGTAATTTTTGGTTTATATTTACTTTTTATTTTGCCAGGAGTTTGTTCAATTTCTAAGTTTTTAGTACTGGATCATATATTTAGGGAAAAATATTCTTAATCTCTGTACCCAGATGTAACTTTTATTGCTGTGTGGGACTACCTGTGTTTTTTATAACCTCAGATGTAGCTCTTCCATAAGACTGTAAGATAAAGAACAGAAAGTTAGTGGGTAAGTCAGGTAGTTTACGTCCAAAGTAATGGACCGCATTGTAGCCTTGTGGAATAATGATGGCCAGCTCACAGGACTGTATGAGGTTCATTTGATGTTGCAGAATGCTTTGAAAGGCAGACTGTGGGAACAAGCAGCACGATGTAATGAGATCTGAATCCAGGATTGATGTTTGTAATGAGGAGATCGATTTTCCAGCGAAATTGTTTGACAGCATGATGTTTGTTTGAGTGTACTTCTTGGTTGGTCCGTTGTGGACACTTTGACAGATTCTCTCTCTCTGTAGGTCGTGCAGATATTTCTTCTTTAGTACTAAAATATCTTTTGCTACATAATAAGGGTGATAGGATATGCTTTTTGCAGGGACTTTACACTAATGTTATACATTTTTATTTTCGTCCACAGGTTTATGGAATCTGAACTGGATTTAAATGACATCATTCAAGAGATGCACGTGGTGGCTACCATGCCTGACCTCTATCACTTATTAGTGGAGCTCAATGCTGTGCAGTCTCTTCTCGGGCTTCTTGGGCATGACAATACAGATATCCTAACATTTCTGTTGTTAGTAGGAAACTGGCTACTTTTGAGGTGGCTGTATTTAACTTCCTTTCCTGTATGTCTTATCTGATTTTTCACAACCTAATTTTCTGTTTCCATACTAATTATCTCCTGTCTTGAAATTTACATCGATCTTTGTTCATTTTTAGTCTATTAATAAATCTTAAACAGTCATTCTCTTATTTATCCCCATTAGTTCTTAGATTTTCCGTCATATCTTTTTTCATGTGATAACTAGCTTTATTTTTCATTGTTAGGATTTGGGGATTTATAATAGAGACAAGCAAGACAGACTTGTAGTTCTTCATCTACCCACCAGGATGCTGCCCTCCTCTGACTGTGCTGTGTTGGTTCCTTGTATGCATTTTCTCTCATGGTGCCTGCCCGGTGAAATTTTGCTGTGTGTTTTTCATCTGCCTTTGCAGAAGGGACTTGTAAATGTACAAAACCTTCAGGTGGTTTTTAAAAATACGGATATGTGTTTAAGGATTAGGTAAAGTTCTCCAAATTGAATTCTTTTTCATTTACGCCTGAATTCTGATTTCCAGAGGTGGGAAACGAGTAGTTAGCCTGCTTGAGTAATATTCTTGGGTGAATCTGCTGCTTCTTCAGGTTATGTTCATCTTTCTGGTAATCTCTCTCATGAGAGCATATCTAACTAGATTCTTTTCTGATTGATAATTCTCATCGAAATATATTAGTAGATACTCTTAACATAAGCTTCTTGGGAGAGTGATCTTAAGACATTTCCACTGCTTCATGTAGACTTTTAATATGATAGCATTAAGGATCATTTTGCAGGTTATAGGATCATAGTATGATAGATTTTGAACTGTTAGGGACTTTAGAGGGCTTAGTGGTCAAAAAGTGTTAGACATGCTGCATGCAGCCCTTAGCTGTCTGGAGTAGAGCCTAAACCTGATGAAAATGTAATTGATAAACATTTAACAAAATAAATAACAATACAATAGGACATAGATAATGCTAATATGTGGTTTTCTAAATCAATTTGCAGCCTACAGGGATCCTTATGTATGGTTTAGTGGCTTCCATTTCTGTTTCAGTTTCACACCACTGCTCTAGTCATTTTACAAATCAGAAACTGAGGCCCAGAAAGAGAGGTCAAGTGATTTTTCTCAGATCCCTTCATATAGTAAATGGCAGAACCCAGGAGTTGAACCCAGGTCTTCTGATTCTAAATTCTGTATATATTCTTCAATGTGAAATAGATGTCCAGTGAGATCAGCATTAATGTAGTATGGCCACAAATTAACCTATAGCCATGGATGCATTGTTTGAGGCAATCTGGAGTAGGAAACGTAGTTTAGAATCTGTATTTAAATCTTTTGAGTAACCATTACAGTCTGGTGATGAAAGTTTCTGTTGTGAGTACCTTTTCTAGTCCCCTGAACTTATTTATTGTAATTTCTTCTTTCTAAGGGATCAGTGGCTAGAAAATTCAGTATGAATCCCAAAAGACTTGTAGTTTCTTGGCTGGCCTGTGTATTACCGAAAGTTTTGCCAAAATAGTTCTTAGGAATATGATTCGGAAGGTTCTCATTCTCTACTTTTGTGAACTCCAAATAATGGTAGTGGCTTTCTGAAGACAATGACATTTTGCTGATTCACCCGCTTGGTTCCTGCTGGTAAGAAGACTGATAAAGGAAATGCCATTCTATTTTGGCGTACATAGGAAAGGCAAGGGCACAGATGTTCAAAGTTGTTAAGTTCTGGTCTTTAAAAAAAAAAAAAAGTTATCCTGTAATAACTTTGACAGACTGCTGTTTTCCTCTTGCTTTCTGATGGCAGAACTGTTTCCCCCCTGTGTTCTAACCTTCTCCTAACTACCATAATAGTATTTTGTTTAAAAAAAAATCTGATTTTTAATTATTCTCTCCATCACATTTAAAGCTTGGTTGGATTTTTTAATTGGCTTAACCTTTATAATTAGATGCAGCAATTAGTATATATCTCATCCCAAAGCATAGTTTTTCTTTAAAGCAGTTTCTAGAAAGGATATTCCTCTTGACTTGCCTCTGACATAACCTTGATGGGCTAGAACTCGAATCTTCCAACCACCATGTACTCTCTGCTTTCTTGTCTTAGCTGTGATCTGTAATGGAAATGATTTTCTAGGCAATGGTTGTTAACAGTTTACTGTTGTACAGCTGTAACTGCCTGAAATACCTACCATGAATAAACAATTTCATGGCAGTCATGACTTAATTTTTTTAACTCCTTGTCTTTCAACCAGGACTGTACATGGCCAGTTATGTTCTCAGCAGGCGCAGGTCATCTTGGTGCTGTCCTTTTCAGGGGAAACATAAACCGCAGGGATTTTAATTGGTATCAGAGGGTTGGTTAGTTGTGACCTTAAGAGCTCGAGAATATAGGAATACAGCTTGTGTCTTGTCCTTTCAACCATGAAACGCTGCTTCAGTGTATTGTGCTGCCCTGCATCACTGCTGCTGCTGCTGCTGCTGCTGCTACTGCTACTTGCTGAGGGCCTGTCAGTATTTCTGTTACTGGCCCCTCTCCTGGGAAGACTGGAGCTCAACCATTGTTTTTCTTTAGGGTGGGATTTTAGACTGTAAAGAATAACCCTGGAGATAGGAAATGGGGAGAAAAATGTACTTACAAATTTTTGGTGAATCCTGTCTGGATGTAGTGGGAGCCTAGCACAAGGTAGAGCTGTGTGTCCATTGGCATTTTTAAATATAGCTGATTTAAAACAGCCAGTTTCTCTAAAGATGTAGCATTTATCTTCTCTCCCTTTGTGTGAACCTTTGGGGGAGCTTTTACAGAATGATAAAGCCAAAGATGCATTTTAAGATATTCTTATAAGGTGATACTAAACAAATAGTTGTTTTGACTTAATGTAAGTAGAACTATCTCAAGGAGCCTAATTAGTGAGAGAGGTATAATGAGGGACAAAGAGATAGCAATAGCTCAGACAACACAGAAGTAAAATGTGGAAGTGTTGTGCTCACTTTGCATATTTTAGACTACAATGTGGAGTTATATCAAATTGTCTGTGTAACATCTGTAGTTTGCATTATCATGAAGAGAACCCACGTTCAAGTAATTATTAACTGTGTATCAATTATTCACTGTAACTTTGGGCATATCTCTTAATTTCTGTGAGCTTCTTTTTCTTTACCTGTGAAACAAGGATAATAATACTCCCTACCTTTCAGAGTAATTGTGAGATAGGCACTTTGTAAATTCTAAATTGCAGTATGAGGCAGGATGTGGGTAAGTATTATGTAAGTGGCATACACAAGAATAACAGGAGTTTGGTGGAGGGAATGATTATTGTGGGCTGGGGGTGATTAGTGAATGGTTCTGGTTAAATTTGAATTATGAAGGTAGATGGGGTTATAAGTACAGTCATCTCTCAACATTCATGGGGCTTAGGGGTACAGAACCCCCATGAATGTGAAAAACATTGAATAACTCTAGGCTGGACCCCAAACCTTTATTTTTTGTAGTTCTGATTATATTTATTTAACACACAAAACGAGTATTAAAAAAAAAACACACTTCATCTACATTGCATACGAGAGAGAGATTAGTATCTCTTACACTCTACAGTCTTTGCTGTTGCCTGTGTAGCTATAGCTTCTGCTTCACAAATGTCCTTCTACAACAAGCAAAAGATACAAAGATCACTGGGGCAGCTGGGTGGATTACTGGCCCTGGAGTCAGGAAGATCTGTGTTCAAATCCAACACTTACTAGCTATGTGACCCTGGGCAAGTCACTTAACCCTGTTTGCCTCAGTTTCCTCATCTGTAAAATGAACTGGAGAAGGAAATGGCAAACCACTCCAGTGTCTTTGCCAAGAAAACCCCTCAGGGAGTTGGACATGGTTGAAACATCTCAACAACAAAATCAAAGATCAGTACGAGAGAAAAATCATGGGACTAAATCTGGATGTGGTAGATAGACAAAAAGAGAGTGCATACTTTAGTTCTTTAGCTCACTGAAATGTTTAACAAATTTTAACTTTATATAATAAATTATGTATGTATACTTATGGTAGTAAATTATAAAATAGATTAATAACATACAATGTTTATGTATTTGTGACTTACTAAAATTTTTTTTCTGTATTGTCTGTGATTTCCTGCAGTGTACCTTAAATCACCAAAAATTCCCATTTATTTATTGATGGCCAATCTGAGAATAACCAAAACTAGAAATATGAAACCCTCCAATGTTGAATAAGAAAAGTGCTAGCATTTGACTTAATCATCTTTGAATTTGTCAGAGATTGGTTCTTTAAAAGAACTGGGCATTCGCTTCCCTGAAAGTTGATGAACAAGCCAAGGAAAATTATCCTTAGGTTCTTCTTGATTATATATGGTTCAGTCCCATTAAGCAATCTGTTGCTTTATACAAAATAACAAGATTTGAATCCCCCTTGACTAGGTGCCTGTTTCTTTAATAAGAATATTGGGTAATTTAAACTTGGTTTAGGCAGCCTGTTTTTCTCTAGTCCATTGTGATTCAAATTCATGAAGCCTTTCTTAATTTTAATCTCTGAAGGCAGCCGGTACTTTTGAAAGTTGCATAGTAAATATTCTGGAAAGAAGAACTTTCTTGTGTTTGTGGTTCAGAGTGCAAAGTAGATACCTTTTTACTCTTTAGGGAATCCTTTGTTGCCTCTGGTAATTAGGGAGTAGACTTTCACTTTTATTTATTTAGACTTTGTTACTAAGTGGGGAAGTATGATGTAGAAAAAGTACTGGTTTTGGAATCAGAAATCTTGACTCCTACTCTTACTTTGTATTTGTTGTAGAAAAGAGCTGTATTCTCTGAATTGGCTTCAGGTAAGGAAAAACATCCTATTTTTTTTAATTAAAAAAATTTTTTTTATTAATTTTTTTTGATTTATCAATAATCACTTCCATATGCTTTTGAGTTTAAAATTTTTCTCTCCCTTCCTCCCCACCACCCTGCCCAAGATGGTGCACAATCTG